CAAACAGGAGCATATTTTACCTAGACCAAACCCAGGTTTTTTTAACCAAAATAAATCAAACTATTGATAGACAAGAACCTCCATACATACAGCATTCAAACACCAACTATGTTCTCTAATTGCGCCAGCTGACGCCAGCAGCAATTTGTTTGACTGGTTCCAACCTATTCCCGCAGCCACCGTGGGCCATTAACATGGCAAGAAAATAACAATTTCTGGGACGTGGCCCACAAGTTTTGGTCATGTTAACAACAAAATAACGCCGTAACGCAATAATATTCAAACATGGCCCAAAAAAATCGTGCTGACATACTGACTTTTCAGACTATGGTCCTGGGTCAAATTCTGACACGTTTATGACCTGAAATGAGGCTTCCCCCATGAAAACCAGACCCGGTGATGTATCCCATCATATGCCCAGCAAAAATCCACTAACTGTACATAGTGAATCTTAGATGCCTGTCAAACAATCTCATTCATAGCTGGTTCAGGTTAGTACATTTTCTATATCATTTTACCATAGCAAAGTCGATAAAAGTACTAGAGCACTAATTTTACCATAGAAGATATCCAGTACGAGGTTCATATCTAACCAGTCGGCTGACCCTTGGAGTATCTCCATTTCACCGGTTTTGAGTCAAAACCCGCCCTAGATATCATCCTCCAAATATATGGTAACATATAGCAACCAGGTGTTGATCAAAACCATCAATCCATCAGCTATTTTATTCTATTGATGACCATAGTGAAACACAATACTGTCCATAACACAATAATATGTTTTTTAACCACATAGTGATTTTATGATATTTATGGTATCCATCACTAATGTGAATAATAGGTTTTTGATAACATATAATATTAACCATTTCACAGGTTTTGACTAACCAGTTAATATTAATATATATATAAATATATTGTTATCAATATCAGTTAATGTTGTAATAGGTGTTGACCCATACCCATTTCACCATTAGTGAAACACGCTTTCGTCCACCAACTCCTCAAGCGCTTGGGTCTTCTTCGGGGCTCATCCACCTGATGAGAAACGATATGGAAGAACCATTGTTTTTTCTTTAAAGCCAAAATATGGAATCTATATGCAAACGATGTTGTTTTGACCTGAAAACTGGAAACACATATGTATATATATATATGTGCGTGTGTGTGTGTCTGTCTACCTATCTATCTATCTATCTATCTTATCTTATCTTATCTTATCTTATTATCTATCAATCTTGTCTTTTCTGATCTTTTCTTATCTTATTATCTTATTATCTATCTATCTATCTGTCTGTCTGTCTGTCTATCTGTCTATCTATCTATCTGTCTATCTATCTATCTATCTAACTAATCTATCTATCTAACTAATCTATCTATCTAACTAATCTATCTATCTAAATAATATATCTATCTAAATAATATATCTATCTATCTATCTATCTTATCTTATCTTGTCTTATCTTATCTTATTATCTTATTATCTTATTACGGTAGCATCATATTAGCGTATAACCTTATTATCTATATTATATTATTATCTTACTATATCTATTATCTTATTATCTTATTATCTTATTATCTATCTATCTATCTATCTATCTATCTATCTATCTATCTATCTATCTATCTATCTATTCTCTCTATCTATCTATCTATCTATCTATCTATCTATCTATTATCTATAAATTTATGTATCTATATTTATATATATATTTAAATAAATATAAATCAATATAAATCAATCTATCTATCTATCTACCTACCTATCTATCTATCTGACCTGAATTCTGGAGGTCGTACTCGGTACTTCTTGGAAGTTTTTGAAAAACCATGAGTTTTTGATCTGGATCCGGTCCTGTTTCGGGGACTACAAAAATATGGCAGTTCAAGAGGTGCGCGATCTGAAAAAAAAAAACAATTAAAACCCAGTGGAATGTATGACCGTGTTGAAACCTTATCATTCTCTATCAAAGGGACCCAACGCTGAGTTGAAAAAGAAAAACATAGAAAAACAAACCACCAAACAGTGGTGCGTGCCGGAGATTCTATGAACCGATCTCACGATTTCACATGTCCATGGATGCAATGCCCTGGGATGTACTACTGACAAGCTTGATACCATTTGATACCTGCAGGATTTCCTCAAAAACTGAAACATTCTCAACATTCTCTATGTAATATTCTCACATGTCCGTCTTTGGTGAGGGGTCGCCAAACAACACCCCAATACTGCCAATACCTAAAGAACTTTCAAACGATATCCAAAACATAGTTCCCCAGCCGATCCTAGACACTTCCCTGCATCTAAAAATTGATCTCACCTCCAAGTTCGCCGAGATGTCTGGATGACCTCAGCCAGAATGGTCATCCAAAATAGTCAGCTCATCACAATTTCTGTTACTCTAAAAAAGCCGCTGAAACCTTTGGAATCCTTGATGATATTGGTTTGTTTGTCCTCTTCTGCTCATTTCTCTCTTAGCGGCCTATCGGATTCCCACAGCATCCGAAACCACAAACATGCTCCCTTCCTTGCGGAGAATAACATGTTCACTATCCAAATTGTAAAAAAAACATCTAAACCGATCTAAACCATCAAATTGGCTCAATGTTCACTATCCAATTTGTTCACTAAAAATAGTTTTGAATCATTGAAGCGATTTCCAAAACTTATCGTGGACTGGTCCGTCTGGCTGATGGAGCTTCCCCATCCATGGACCATCATATTCTTCATGATACCAGCCAGAAGAACCGATCCCCATCTATCATTAACCTAGACCTGGGGGTAGGACAAACTATATACTCATTGAACATGAGTTTGCTTAAAGATAAGCGACCCCAAAAAATGTTGATTTCCCATCATCATTTCCCTATTGAACGGCCATCATTGGATGTATCCACCATTTTTTAGATCATATATTGTTGGTTTGTTGTATCCCATGAAAGATCCTTCCTATGTCACATATCCACAGGTTATAATGCTGATACATGCTGATACCTCATGATACCTCATTTTCTCAATCAAAGCACCTCCAAAAATAATTGAAAAATCACCCGTGAATCAACTAATCCTATCCCCCTAAGATTAACCCCCCCCACCAGAAACCATGGTTTCGTAATGTTTAGTAGGGGAGTTACACTTTTTTTGGGACAATTTCGGAGGTCTTTAGTATTAGGATGGGATTATCATTGGAAAAGTCGTAGCTCCAACTGGCTCCCACGCCATCACCGTCTCTGGGACATCGCAACGGCCCTCCGGCGTCATGGGCACCATCGCACCCTTGGGGCACTTGGAGATAGAACTGCTACATGTCCAGCAGATGGTGATTTGACCAACGGTGATTTCACCAAAAATGGTGACTTACTGGTGCGTTTTAAGTAGGGATGGATGGGTTGCTGGGGGCATGGGATTATTATTGATAGTTAGCCAGTGGGTCATTCCCGCATTCCCTACGTAAAACGCACAAGTAAGGTGATTGAAGCACCAAAAACTACCCTGTCAAACCAACCCAGTTTGCTGACATCGCCAAGAGACCGTCTCAGCAGACTGCTGCAAACGTCGCCGTGCCTGGTGAGATGTAATGTCACAATCATATTTAATGATTAGTAAATGTCGGTAATATAGTGTGCCACCAAAATGAATTTTCAACATGACTAATCGTTGTTCTTAATCAACTTCACCAACAATAATGCAGTGATAACCTGGAAACACAGCATAGTCTTAACAATGTGATTCATGAATGAAATATAAATAGAATAAATGCGATACTATTAAATCTATCTGAATCTTACCTAGTTTACATAACTATCATAACATATCAAAACTACATCCAGAAAATAACTCACATTAGCTACTCATTCGCATTTTTTTCATGGCCCCTTATTTACATGTGTTTACCGTCAATTCACTAACATTGATTTCGATTCACCGTCAATATCAATATTGGGATGGGTCAAGTCGGGTCAAGTTGCCTCGTACTTCTGTTCACATCAAAATAGATCAAAATAGCTGGTAGTTCTGGATGTTCATCTCTTAACAAATGGTATCCATAGCCATATTGTTTTGGAACATTAAAAGTCCTCATGCCGCTGTTCACATCCAACCTGGCCGCCTGACGCATCGCATAAGTAATCCAGATGTGGTGCGGGAAAAAAAAACGAAAGCGTAGTAGCGGCATCTGTCCACTATGACTGATAAAGCCCTAGTATACTATCATTATTGGACATATCATTAGCAATATAATTAATTGTAATAGCAATGAGTAATATATAATATAATTGTTACGTAATTATAATATAATTCGTAATATCCCCATATAATTGTTTGATACAGTAGTTGAAGCCCCAACTTCAAGCCTATAAAATGATCTAATCATGTGGTATATCTCCACATGTTTTACAGTTGAAGCCCCATAAAAAGCCTATGATTTTCTGGTTGGTGGTATACCAACCCCTCTGAAAAATGATGGAGTTCGTCAGTTGGGATGATGACATTCCCAATATATGGAAAGTCATAAAATTCCATGGTTCCAGTCACCACCAACCAGATCATTATTATATAACCAACTATTGATGATTATGGCTAGTTGATCATTATCATCATCATATAATCAACTGTTGATAATCAATTAACCAAGTAACCACCAACAATAAACGCATCGCCCCATGGCGCCTCCTGCTGCAGCTGCAGTTGCTGTAGCCGCAGGGCCGCCTGATGGAAACCGATGACGCGCCGCCCGCCGCCTGGAGGGGAAGGCACCTGAAAGATACCATTTGGGGATGACTTTTACGGTAAAATACCAGCTATTTAACTGGTGAAAGTGGGGATGATATGATATTGATTGATATTGATTGATGATTGGGGTTACCGCATTTGGATTCGGAGAATTGAAATGTTGGAAGGATTCTGGAAGCCTGGATGATAGAACTGTATCGTTTATCCTGAAATATTGGTAATGAAATATTGGCAATTTCTCATCTTAAGACCCAAGTCCCTTTTTGCTATGTTTGTCTGAATGGGAAACCTCAAAACCCAACGGCATATCATCATTTTTCCCAAATTCAAATTAATATTTTAGGCACCTCCCATTATCCATTGCTGAACAAACCCACATCAAAAGTTCATCAACAAATTGGGACTTTGTCTAACAAATATAATCAAGCATCAAGCATGGTGATGTTAAGCATCAAGAGAGAATATGTCAAAAAGTATTCCATAGGGCTTTGTGGCTTTGTGACTGGTTAAGGAACTGTTTTTCAAAGTTGCCCAACGAGAAATACGATTGACTTTTGTATACTTTTGGAACTGATAGCAGCTACTTTTGACAAAAGCCTTGCTGGAGATTTAGTGCAACTGAGTCCCCCCCCTTCCGGGAACATCTATTGGCATGTACCCTCGTTTTTCCCTTATTAAAAAGTGTCTCATGTTTAATTTGTTTTTCATAATTCACCTGTCATGTGGTTGGGAAACGCTTCGTAGCACTGGCCCCCCATTTCAATGGATTGCTTTGTTTGGGAAAATCTTAACAGGAAACCCATGGGTTTTTACCATCAAATATAGGGGGCTTCCGGGTTCAATTTCCCCCAGCCATGGGATGATTCAGAGCCCCCAGCCATGGGACTGGGACTGGTTAATGGCATGTAGCATGGCGGTGCACCACATTCTTTAAAAAATATAGGTTGGTAGTGATCCATAGCGAGGTTTTTCTCGATTTTGATTTATATCATATATCTTTCACAATTTCTTTCACCGTACTAAATGAATCCCTTACCACATTTTCATCAAAACTCCACCTTCCGCACCTAAGCGCTCCAGCAGCGCCGCGCTGAAGCCGCGCCCCTCGGGGTCCTGGAAACGGCGTCTTCTCTTGGCGCGCCGCACCTGCTGCAGAAAGTGGCGCCGCAGCGTGGTGAAACCTGGCGACAAATGGTGGATTTCACCAGCTTCACCGAAACATAGGGGGAAGTTTAAGCATCCAAAAAAGGCCCCTTTGATCATCGAAAATATTCGAAAATCAAGGGATTTCACATGATTTCGCTATAAAAAAAATCTGAGCAGATAAAGACTTTTAGAAAGAAATCTGAGTGCAGAGGGGTAGGATGCTCCTAGAATGTTGATGATGAGTGGCAGTAGACATACGGAACTCGAACACTAGCCGTACCAATACGTAGGGATTTAATGATGCAAGTGCGATAGTGTCAATCTGGGACATTCTGGGACAATAGAAAAATATGACTTATTTGGAAGATTTTGGAAGTATATACTTGCAGGGGTTCGCAAGTTCTAGAAATTTAAGGCTCAATTATCAGTATTTTGGGAACCACTTGACTGATTTGATGGGGGATTATCAGGATTATAGTCATAATATGCCGTACGGGCCAGGACAATGAAACAAACCCGGATCGGGTTGCTCTTAAATCTGCCAAATGGAGGGTTGATGCTTTGCAAGTGGGCTATGGTCCAACAAAAAAGAGGAACCCCGGGGTAATTTGTTGCATAACTACACATAGAGAATTTGTATGGAAATCACCAGTTCTGATAAGTAAATCATTGAACTAAATGGCAAATATCTATAGCATAGCAAATTGTAACAAATTAGAAGATATCTGGTTTTCCCATAGGCATGGATGATTATCCTCATTTAAATCCATTTCAAGGCCCAGAAAAGGACGGACTTCCCATGAGCTCAATGGCTCTCCTTGCGCATCGCCGCTCGCATCTGCACTTCCCACGCCTGGAATGCCATGCGGACAAGGATCACCGACAAATGACGTGGAATATGGATGTGTCTGAAAATAGTATACCACCCCAGTTATGGCCATTTTCAAGCAATTTTGAAGGGGAAAGGGTGATGATCAGTGGTTCTAAAGCCTATTTTCTGAGTGATCCAAGCTCTCCTGGCAATTGGGGCCCATTTTGGCTTGACTTGTCAGTTGTCATCTATATATAGGCTATAGCCTACAATCTATGTTTATAGTTTACATGGAGGGAAATTTTAAGTGCATCATAAGATTTATAAACCTACTGTACATATATTTATATACATACATATATATATATATATACGTTACATATGCAGCATGTACATACACATTAAACTTATATATATATATATACATCATTTGCATAAATATGATATATGATATATGATATATGCCATAGAATCCTGCTGAATCCAACCAACCCGCACCTGTCATTTGCCCAGTCTGCTGCAACTGCGTTTCCCTCAGCTGAGTCGCGACAGGTGTGACAAATTGCCGTGATCTGATGGCACCAGATTTCACCATGGAGAATCATCAATTTAATGGTGATTTGATGGTGATTTAATGGTGATTAATTGTGATTTAATGGTGATTTAACGGTGACTTAATGTTGATTTAATGGTGATTTAATGGTGACTCAATGTTGATTTAATGGTGATTTAATGGTGATTAATAGTGATTTAATGGTGATTAATTGTGATTGAATCGTGATTTAATGGTGATTAATGGTGATTAATTGTGATTGAATCGTGATTTAATGGTCATTTAATGGTGATTAATGGTGATTTAATGTTGATTTAATGGTACATAACGGTGATTTAATGGTGATTCATGGTGATTCATGGTGATTCATGGTGATTCATGTTGATTTAATGGTGATTAATGGTGATTAATTGTGATGGTGATTAATGGTGATTAATGGTGATTAATGATGATTAATGGTGATTTAATGGTGATTTAATGGTAAATAATGGTGATTCATGGTGATTAATGGTGATTTAATTGTGATTTAATGGTAAATAATGGTGATTTAATGGTGATTAATGGTGATTTAATTGTGATTTAATGGTAAATAATGGTGATTTAATGGTGATTAATGGTGGTTTAATGGTGATTAATTGTGATTTAATGATGATTAATGGTGATTAATGGTGATTAATTGTGGTTTAATGGTGATTTAATGGTGATTAATTGTGATTCAATGTGATTTAATGGTGATAAATGGCGATTTAATGGTGATTTAATGGTGATTAATTGTGATTGAATCGTGATTTAATGGTGATTAATGGTGATTAATTGTGATTGAATCGTGATTTAATGGTGATTTAATGGTGATTAATGGTGATTTAATGTTGATTTAATGGTAAATAATGGTGCTTTAATGGTGATTCATGGTGATTCATGGTGATTTAATGGTGATTAATGGTGATTAATTGTGATTTAATTGTGATTTAATGGTGATTAATTGTGATTTAATGGTGATTAATGGTGATTTAATGGTGATTAATTGTGATTAATGGTGATTAATTGTGATTTAATGGTGATTTAATGGTGATTTAATGGTGATTGAATGGTGTTTTAGTGGTGATTTAATGGTGATTAATGGTGATTTAATGGTGAATAATGATCAATTTAATGGTGATTTAATAGCTAATAATGTGATAATATGGGGATTAATGGTAAATAATGGTGATTAATGGACGGATTCATGGACTGTAGCCTAGGTTAAACGAACAAAAACCATGTGGAAAACCCGGCTGGTTCCCGTTCGAATTAAATGATCTACATTTAAGAACATTTCTGGTGGCTTAAACCCATATCTATGTAAACGTTTACCGAAGGGTACTTTAGCAACTGGCATGACTAACATGATCAGGCGCAACCTTTGGACACGTCCATCTTGAATTCGTCTTGTCTCATGGGAATTCAACCAAGGCCCCCCCCAAAGGCAACCCCTCTATATCATAGATGGTGAATAAATATGAATAGGTCCTGATTTTAGTGGCTGGTAGAAAATGTTCCACCATGTTTAGATACTTTAGATTCGATGGCGGAAAAAACATGTTGGATACATTTGGAACACTCTCTAGCTCTAGGTTGTGTACATGTGCAGTTCTAGAATCTGAATTTCAATGAAAACTCTGATTCTATGCCCCACGTCGCCCACATATCGACAAAGCCCAATTGTAATTATCCTCTATGATTTACACCGTAGCCAATCGTGAATATCTTGCACATTGACATCTGGTTGATGGTTTGAACCCCTCTGAAACATAATTATTAGTATTAGTCAGTTGGGATGATTATTCCCAATATATGGAAAGTCATAAAATTAATGTTCCAAACCACCAACCAGGTAATACCCAATATTTCCATTGTATCATGATATATTTCACAATTCTCATTGGCACCCAATATTTCCCAATAGTAGTTACCCAACCAGTAATTTATAGATATTTATGGCTTATTCCCCATTTTGTTATAAGTCATAACTTCATAACCAACTGGTATTTACCCTCTGGTAATTTAACATAGCTATTGAAAATGGCAATTTATAGATATTTATAGTGGATTTTCCCATAAAAAATGGTGATTTTCCATAGTTATGTTACATATGTTACACTAGTTTACCAGAGGGTAATGGGCATAATGGGTATTAAGTCATTAACCAGTTACTAAGTCGCTTCCTTTCGACCGAGGCTCAGCGTGCCCTCGAGCTGCTGCCGCCGCCAGCGGCGCCGCGACTCCTTGGCGCGGCGCCGATCCAGCTGATGCTGCCGCCGCACCGTCTCGATACTGGCGCCGCGGGGGTTGGACGACGGAAGCCATGGGAAAACCATGGGAAACTCCACGGTGAAATCACTAGATCTCACTATTTAACGAACAAGAATGGGGAGTAGAGTTGTGGGTGAGCAAAGCTTCAGTTTTTTTTGGCAACCTGAACGTCCAAAATGGGAAAACGAAAAAATGGACGCTGGCAATATAGCCGCCAAGAATGACTTTGGAATTGGGTGGTATTTGAGAATTGAATTGGGAAGTGTCAGGTCATATTTCTTCCTTTGGCAACTGGAGCAAACACCCCTGGATATATCCCAAATATTCGCTTGGGATATGTAATGGCTGATATGGAGCAAAAGCAACCAAATCAAAAAATAGCAGGATCCCTCTTATTCCCTTTTTTTGTGAAAAATGATGGGGATAAATGCCGGGTAGCACGTGTGCTTAAAGGAATGGGATGTGATTGGGGTGAAAACTCAACGGCAAAAGCAACATGGTAAAAAATGGAACTGATGTCCAGTTGATATGGATGGTATAAACCAACAATATTGGCGGAGCAACATTCGGTTTACAACATGGTAGCCATTGGGTTGACGGCAAGAATGCCCAATGAAACATTGTTGTTTGTAGACGCGGTTCAGCAAAGTCTGTTTTGTCTTCTGCCCATCTTAACTATCAGAGGACCCAAGCACTGCTCCACTCATGCTGTGCGCCCCTTCTGCATGCCCAATGGTGTTCCTGTAGTACTCATCGATTGTTTTCGCACCTCAAAATTCGTGGCAAAGCATGCGGTTGGGGAACCCTTGCTGGTGACAGCTGGTGATGTCGTCCAGGGCGCAACCAGAAGGAGTTGCAAGGAGTTCAAACTATTGGAGCATCAGCAGCAGCAGTGATGGTAGCAAACAGTCTGATCATGATCATTTTATTTATATACATATGTATATATATATGTGTGTGTGTGACACACACGTATGCCTACACCTTAATACACATAGTTTCATGATGTTTCATGAAACTGTTACCCTCTTTCGCAAACGTTTACATGGTTTTTTATCACCATTCTTTATAGATCAATCCACTATTTTCAATGGATTGGTTTAATGGAACATTTTCACCGGAAACCCATGGGTTTTTACCATGAAGTATGGGCTTTTCCGGTTTCAATTTTCCCCTACCCTCTGGTAATTTAACATAGCTATTGAAAATCACCATTTTTCATGGGTAAATCAACTATAAATGGGCCATTTTCAATAGCTTTGTGTATGTTTACCAGAGGGTAAACCAACCCAAACCCACGGATTTCAACGGTGAAATCCGCGGCGCGTGGCTCCGTCACTTCCACCGGCGGCGCTGGTGGCGGCGGCCCCGCCGGAACGACGGGTCCGGGCGGGGCCTGGGCGGCGACGGCGCGGATGGCCTGCGGATGTCACCCGTTTTGGCGGGTGATTTTAGTCCTGGGGGATGGGAAAAATATGGACAGAAACCTATGGAAATTGATGGAAATTGATGGAAATTGATGGAGTATAATATGGTTAATGATGGTTATATGATGATTCTTGGGATATAATCAACCTAATATGGTTATGTCATCTTTAATTTTTGTTCCAAAGTGCCACCCCAGCTTGGTCGTTGCGCAGGCGCTCCTCCAAGGCTGCTTTGGCGGATTCCGCCTCCCGCAGGGCTTTCTCCTGGTCGTATCGTTTAGGTGTGGGATAATCCGAATGGGATATATATTATATATATACTTTTGGGGGAGAATGATTATATTATATATATATACATGGGCAATCTGTGGCATCATAATATTATGGGATATAATTCTAGTCTTTGTGAAATATACGAATTTTATGGGATATGATCAATGTATATGTATACCTATACTCAGCGGGATAAGGATTATACTTATACCTAGCAGCCAAGAGGATAAACTCGGATAATCATATTCATAATTGGAATTCATTGGCACCACTCGATGGAATTCGTTTCAGTAAATCACACAAAATCATGGCGATCGAATCGGCCCAATGCTATGGATCAGCCATCCCGATATCCCTGTCAGATCGTGTCACTATACAGTAATGATACGATACTATTCAGTTACTAAGTGGGATGCAAGCCCTACCGTGCTTTAAGGGACTTTACGAACAACACAGTACTAAGATAGCACCGTAGGTCCGTTCAAGGTCTCTTTAATGGTCTGTTTGCTACATCCGGGGGTTGCAATGCCATCACTTTGAGGTCAAGGCTTCGATGGTTTCAATGGCTTCAATTGTGGAGAGCCAAAAATCGCATGAGAATGGCTCACAAACCCCAAACAACGTCAAGGACCCCCACATTCTTGCGATCTTAAATGGCTACAAATTGGTCAATGGTGCTGCATGCAACCTCCGCTCCATACAGATAAACTGTCAGTTTAATAATTATCAAGGTGCGAAAAAGGTCCAGCACCCCCAACAAACAGTTCCAGAATTTTCCACAATGTTCCACACCCTAGATGCCAGCGGCAGCCCAAAGTAAATATGGCAGTGTGTCAAAACCTTGTACCCCTGTAGTTCACATCAAAATAGCTGGGATTTATGGATGTTCATCCCACTAAAAATGCTATTAATAGGTATTGATCCATACCCATATAAGAATTGTATACTCTCTGGTTATTTGTTACATAGCCATGGTATAGATGGCCCATAGAAATATCCCCAAAATCATCAGATGTTTCTATCCCCATAACATCTGCGAGAGCTCCTGGCAATGGCAGCTGGCACCCGGCTTTCGGCAGCTGCAGAGGATCTTCAGCAGCTCCGGAGCAATCGCCTGTAAGGCTTCCTGCACCTGCACCGAAGTTTTGATACGGGAATTCCCCAGTAGGTTGTGGGCATACACATCTCTATATACATATATGTTCATACATAAATCCACACATATAAGGTATATAGATAGATAGATAGATAGATAGATAGATAGATGGATGGATGGATAGATAGATAGATAGATAGATATCTTTGAGAAAAAAATGTACATGTGTTTTATATGGATTAGATTTTTCTTATACCTCACATACACACACATACACACACACATATATATATATACACAGCAGTAATACATACCAAACCCATAGATTGCACCTGAGAAAAGCACCGATGAATTTTTATGAATTCGAAGGTGAAATTGCCGAGTTGTTCATGTGACATCCATTCATCTTGGGTGTTCAAATCCCCTTACACATTTAACCTCACATTCCAACCGTTTGACATGTGAAATCCCTCCGAAATCCCCAAGCCAATCACAACCCGAAACAAACGAAACGCGCCTGTCGCATTTCAGTGGCTTCCTGTCAAGTTGGAAACTGCATGAAACTGTCCACCTTTGGGCATCACATAATCGGCGGTTACGTCCACCAGCAAGGTCCAAAAAGCATAGAAGAAGCAGCAAGCGAGGGACCATAGTGACCATAGTGACCATAGAAATAGTACAAATACATGAACTATCATGAACTATCATGAACAAGAATACTGGGAATCTTAATGACAAATAAACAGCTTCACTACATTTACATCGCTTCAAACTCGGGATGCCGTAAAAAAAAGTCTCACCCAGCCACAATGGATGGCACGAAATGGATCCGTACCACTTAGTACCATTGGGGAAAAAACAATCCGTACTACCAAGTGGATAGTTGGTAAGGCTAACTATCATCCATATTATCAATGTTTTTCTCATATATACCATTGGTAATATTATCATATATAGTACGGATAATAACTACCATCCGGATAATATGATAATATGGATGGTAGCTATTATCCGTACCACTTTTTTTCCACTATATAATCTATATAATCTATATAATCTATATAATCTATATATATATATGGATCTATATGGATCTATAATGATCTAGATATATGGATAGTTGTAGTTGCTATGCCAACCGACCCAACATGGGTAGCAAAATCACAAGGGCGGGTCCAGTTCTGTGTAGAAAAGCATGTTTTTTTTCTCCTCTATGAAACATCCAACAAAGCGCAATCTTTCGGAGCTAAGTTCCAGCAAATCACCACCGTAGGCTTGTAGAAACCCTCATTGTTTCTCATCCAATAGATCGCAGTTCTTGATTGGAAAAAGATGTGTCTTGTCTTGCTAAAAAATCATCGAACATCAGATGTCTTTCATGGTCGTAACCGCATGTTTTATTGGCAAAATCCAAAAAAAACATCGCAATTTTTGCCAGCAAAATCATCGATGTTTCTTATTTTCCCCACATTTTCTCACATGTTCCCAGCATTTTTCCGACATTTCCACACATGTTCCGACCATTTTCCTGGATCTTCCCAGCATGTTCCATGAAAAAAATCCACCCTTTCGTCGCCGCGCTGCTCGCCTGGCTCTGCCCGGAGAAGTCCAACTGTTGCACCCGAACGTCCAGGGCGGCCTATGCATCTTGTTTTGTCATAATTAAATGATATTATATGTTATATACATATGTATATATACAGATAGATATACTTGATATATATATATATGTATGTATATATATATATATATATCGCTATTATGAATATAATCATATATGTATATATATATATGATCAATGATAAAATAGTTATATGAGTTTTTTTCGATCTTATTTAATGGTTACAGTGATGATGTGCAGTCCAACCGTTATAGTAACTATCATGAAATAACTAGTATAATCTGTAGCAACTAGATCTATAACATTAATCACTATATTATATATATATATATCACTATACATGATAATGAATAACAAGTATGTTGATATATGTGATTCAAAATAGACGAAACGAAAGAATATGACAATAGTATTCTTCATATATCATAGACGTATATAATAACTCATTTCAGATTTGCTCATAGGTATTATACAGGACAACTATATTTATACATGAAAGATGCATAAATATGTATGTGGAAATAGTTCATTTCATAAATATATACGTATTCATGCATGTGTATACGTATATAGAGTCATATAATTGGTGTGAATCTATAGATGTTGAAGCATGTTTAAACACTAGAAACATATGTGTGCCTATAGTGAATAACGTAGCGCATGCACAATTTAGATGTTGCCTGCAATTATATACATATTCTATACCTACAAGTATATACACATGCGGTAAAAATCCGCACCAACAACTTTACAGGTTAATTCTAGCTTTACGTGGAAAATTGGAAGATCCGCTTAAAAGTTTAAAACATGGCTACTTTTTCCCGTGATTTTTCTTCATTTGGTGGAGCTAACCTTCAAAAAAGATCAGAAGGACTCAAAAAATTGACCCATGGCTATTCATCCCATCCCCACAAGATGCACCTGTATCTCAAGGTCCTCGGGCAAAACAAAAAAAAGGGCGACCACCCAGGCGAGGAAACTCATACTGTGCTTATCAACATGTATGCATATAAGTATATAGCACATACATATATATATATAATCATATATGGGCATTTGCATTTCTATCATTTTTTATAGTATATACACATTTATAGATGTATGTATGATATGTCCCATATAAGAGACACTATGTTGGTAAATCTCTTCCTGCTAAGCGCCGCCTGGCTCTGTTTTCCGAGCGTCAAAGATGTTGGACTTCGAAATGACGCCGGCCTTGCGCACACGCCATTTCCCCGTGGACCTCTGCTGTAGCACGCCGACCTATAAAAAGAAAAGGCACGGAACGGGGGAGGAAGGGTGACATGGCTATGGAATTGTAACATTTACAACATTTACAACATTTACAGATAAGATATGTATATCAATGGAACTGCAGTAGTATACAATTCTGTTTTTTTCAGAGAGAAATCCACTACAGAACATATCTGGGGATATTCATTCGATTGAATGTTGCTATGGCTCCACATGAAATAAAATTACCAACGGACCCAGTCAAAATTAACTTTGTCTGTTTGTATTTTAACAATCTAAAGGAATGATCCATTCCCACATTTGGCAGAGCAACAACTCTAATGTTTGGGAGAGGTTCGATTTGTAGCCCAATCAATATGGAGCGAAGATGGGTGAAATATGGTGAAATACCAGCGAAACGTTCGAAGTGCCGAGTTGGATCACTTGCGAAACCCTTCTTTTCAAGTCCATGTGAAATAGTGAAAGTGATTGCCCAATTTGGCTGATTTAGTCAACCAGTTTTTGTGTCAATAGTCCCAGATCAAGACTGTGATTCCGCTTGATTTGAATGTAAGACACTCAATTCAACATGGACATACTCATGCTCAACAACCGGTCATAAGATGTTTACGAAATGACAGAGGAGGCAGTGCCTACATAGTGCTACAAAGAATGACCAAACTGGCTGACACTGTTCAGGTTTTGTGCTATTCTTTGCGGCTTTCAGAGTGCACATGTGTAATTATTCAAACATGATACCAAAAATGCGAATTCTATGATTCACTCAGCGGTACTTACATGATGAACATGTGACCTGCGATGAACATGTGACACGCGTAGCACGCAATATGGTTCGTTAATTACAACATAGTACAACCCCACTAACCAAGATTTGAGTCAATGGGGAACATCATTCCACATTCATTACAGTTCAAGATAGACATAAAATGAAATAAACAGATATTGAAAATTATAAGCACTTATTTAAAAAAAACACAAAAATATCATGGCCCTTCCCAGACCATCTGACCCTTAACGATTACGCCAGTTCAACCTCCGTTCTCAGCCCGGTGACATATCGAGATTCTCGACCTGGCAGGCGCAGTTTCTGGGCCGGCACCAGGCTTGTCACCGCTGGAAGAATCATGAGAAACCACCATATCATCACCATCTTCAAGGGAAAACAGATGTATTTTATGGAGGTTTGTATGGTGTTTTCTGGGCAGTGCCAGCGTTTGAAGACCGGCCGGTCAACTTCAGCACTTTCATGGTCCACATAGTTTTAGCGTATGTACATCCAGTATACAATATATAATATATAGTCTGTATGTAAATCCTATATATATATGTAATTATATCCGTATACATAGTCATAGTTGCATTCCAGTCTATAACCTAGCCAAGATTGATTGCTTACATTACATCTCCATGGTGTGTTGGTTTCAGTGTCAGTCTGTTTGCTTCACCTACCTCTGAAACCATCAACTTAGCAAAGGTTGGCACCCTGCACCACCTCCAATAACATGTAAGTTACTCATCAAAAAGGTACACTTAAAAAGATACAAAAAGATATATTTTAATATATATATAATCTAATCCTGACATATTCCTTACATCAAAGTTGTTATTATAGATTGTATCACTATTATAGATTATATATACTACTATCAACCGATACATCTTCCATTGATGTTCCATTGATGTGGGATCCACAGCCGTGTCGCCTCGCGACAGCTGCAATCCCAAGCTTTGCGCAGCCGCCCGAGCCAGTTGCTCGATGTCCTGTGAGATCTCACTAGTTATATATAGTAGATATGTAGAATATACAATACTATTTTAATGTCAGAATGTAAATAGTATATGCATATATGTAGTATACAAAAACATGTTTGTAGTATGTATGTAGTATATATGTAGTATATATGTAGTATATATGTAGTATATATGTAGTATATATGTAGTGTATATGTAGTATATATGTAGTATATATGTAGTATATATGTAGTATATATGTAGTATATATGTAGTATGTATGTAGTATATATGTAGTATATGCGTACATGTTATTTTTTACGACAAGTTGAGACTTGGGTCGGTAAAAAAAACATAACCTCTACATATTAATCAAATGATGCAATATTTATGTTAGTTGGATTTGACTTTTAGTTATTTTGTGGGTTGCCATACTATTCTTAGTATATAACTGTTGGTTTGATGTCGTTCGTAGCTGTCCATCCTCCATGACACTTGCCACGCGGAAAGCGCGTCATGTCGCCATTCGCGCCATGGCACCGGGCCGAGTGTCGCTTGTGTGTTTGAGAATGGGCTAAGTTCAATGGGGCAAAATTGATATTTAATAATTATAGGGTGACATGTCCATAAAAAAAATTACCATGAACAAATGTCCATGTTCAAGAATGGAATTTCTGAGGTCAACAACAAAAAGATGATAGATCTTCGGCCCAAAAAATGGGGTACCGGGCTCTGAGAGTGTTTTCAGACAAAGCCTTGTCGGGCTGATGATCTCAGGGATGTTTCGAAATTCACCGAAATTTTCGTGGCGTCATTTTCCGACATGGCAAGTTGGAAATAGGGCTTGGGAAAAAACAAATGTTCTCGATGTTCATCAGGCTCTCTGCGTAAAATCCTTCAAACCTACCATTTGGGTAGGTCTGAAATAGGAATACTTACAAAAAAACCGGAGAAAACCATGGTTTTTCTGTTGGGTCAGAAATCTGCCGCTAAAATGCCGTGAGCTTTTGGGGATGGCGACAGCTGTATGCATGTGCGTGTATGAAAGTGGCAGCTTATATTATATATATATAATATAGTTAAACTGAAGACAATTAGAGATATAGGCATAGAATATTATAGAATCATGTGTATATAATTATATATGTATATCTCTTGCTTTTTTCGCATCTATGGGGACATTCAGGAGATAATCCCATATTAGCTGAGCACCAGCTTTCCATGACGAAGTCGCTAGCCACTAGCCACCGAGGGAACCCCAAAATCCATCCAAAATCTACCTTGGATCACCAAGAAAATCCAAGAATGATGCATGACACTTCAATGAAATCATGTGAAGAATTACATCGACAATGTAATAACGGGCCACTACTAAACTTGGAGCTTAGAATACTAAACTTCGAGCTTAGAATCAGAAAAAAGGAGAACGTGATGGCTTCGGGAGACACCCAATGCTGTTCGAAACTTCCGCCGCGCAATCGGGGCACTTTGTTGCCAACATTGGATAGTCATGGATAGTCTTTCTATATCAACCACAAAAGGAATTTCCATCCACAGGTTACCCTCTGGTAAACATACAAAAAACCATGGAAAATCACCGGCTTCAATAGGTAAATCAACTATTTCAATGGGCCACGTTCAATAGCTATGATCGGCCTCACCATCCCCCGTCAGGCCCTTGGTTGAGAAATGATCGGCTTAGGGACTACACATGAAAAAATGACATTCATCCATCTCCTTTTGATGATGTGCATATATATATATATAGAATCTAATTGTTCTCTAATTTAAAAAAGTCTATAAATATATGTTACAAATATATGTATATAATATATATATACACATACATATATATATATAGACATATATATATATATGTATGTATTTATTTATGTGTGTGTGAGAGAGTGTGTGTGTGTAGTATGCATTTGTATATATATCACTCTCCCTCATATAACATGTATGTGATCGTCCACCACTTGTTTTGCCTCTTCCCCCCTCAGACCACCTCAGGCCACGGATTGGACGTCCTCCCGTTGGCCATTTGGATGATCAATGGCGTATCTTTTTAGAGAGTTACTATGAATACAGGTTCGATATAGGGTAGATCATGTTGGCTTGGTAGATCATAGCTAGACCATATTTTTTGAGGCTAGACCATAGGTTTCTAAGGGTGAATTTGGAGATCTTTTGCGATGCACCACAAAAAAACAGCGAATGAGGACGCAATCCCGATTTCTCTCGGGTAGAAGATTGATATTTTTTTGGTTTCATCTCAAATTTCAGGTCCGAAATTACGCCCTGAAACATAAGACAGTTCTTGGCATTCAATTAAAATACCTAGTTTCAACCTTAGGTCTTACATGGTCTTATCAACCCACGCAAGAGTGGGTTATTTTGCCAATTGGTCCACCATGATTGACCACTTAGTTACGTAGTAGTTTATGAAAAGGACAACCACTTTTTTACCCATATTCTCATGGTGAACTTGCCAGTTAAGTGTTCAATTCCACCCATTTCTCAGAGGATAAATCACCATGATGTCCATATGTTGATGGTCAAATCGTGCTGATCTCTGCGAATCTAAAATATGTAAACTTGCCCACTTCTGGCTGGTTTGCCTATCAAAAATGGTAGTTTTCCATTGCTATGTTAGATTACCAGAAGGGTATCATCCCTTATCGTCTGGAGAAGGATCAATAACCATGATTAGATTAGTTATAAGTTATAGTTATTAACATCATGGTTATTAACCCCATTGTTATTCACCATTACTACCCTCTGATCGAAGGAAGTTTAGAAGTCAAACTTCCGACAATATGGAGAGATGAAAAGCAGAGCAGGGAAGAGGCAGAGAGACGAGAAAGATTAGAAGAGAGAAGATCAGAAGAGAAAGAGTCAGAAGAAAGAAGATGCAGATGCGCGAAAAGGTAGGAAAGTCGCGAAACACTGCGTTTTTCCAATGATTTGTGGCTCCGGAGGGTCGAAAAGTAGGCTCGCTAAAGCGGCGGGTGCGGAGCCAGCTGGCCAAATGAGAGATGAAAAAGTGCACGCCGTTGTGGTGCGAAGCACATTTGCAAGTCAAAATGTACAAAACACACCATGGTCGGACCACTCTTGGAAGTTGAGATGTCGAAAAAGTGCACGCCGTTGTGGCGCGAAGCACATTTCCAAGTCAAAATGTACAAAGCACTAGGGGTTCGGACCACTTTTGGAGGTTGCGATGTCGAAAAAGTGCACGCCGTTGTGGCGCGAAGCACATTTGGAAGTCAAAAGTGTTAAAAACTGGCGGTCTCGGAGCAGTTTTGGAAGTTGAGATGTTGAAAAAGTGCATGGCGTTGTGGCGCGAAGCACATTTGGAAGTAAAAAGTGTTAAAAACTGAGGGTCTCGGAGCACTTTTGGAAGTTGAGATGTCGAAAAAGTGCACGCCGTTGTGGCGCGAAGCACATTTGCAAGCCAAAATGTACAAAACACTAGGGGTTCGGACCACTTTTGGAGGTTCAGATGTCGCTTCGCCACTTCGCTTCACTACACTACACTACGTTACATTACACCACACTCCACTATACTACACTACATTACACTACACTACACTCCACAACACTACAACTACAACTACACAACTAGAGTACACTCCACTACACTATACTAAATTAAATTTCACTACACTACATTACACTACACTACGCTCCACTACACTACACTACATTAAATTACACTACACTCCACTACACTGCATTACACTACACACGCTCCACAACACTACAACTACAACTACACAACTACACAACTACACTCCACTACACTAAATTACACTACACTACACTACATTACCCTACACTACACTCCACTACACTACACGACACTCCACTACACTACACTACATTACACTACACTACCTTCCACTACACTTCACTACATTACACTACACTCCACTACACTACAACTACAACTACGACTACACAACTACGCTCCACTACACGAAATTGCACTACACTACACTGCATTACACTACACTACATTACATTCCACTACACTCCACTACACTACACTACATTACACTACACTACAATACACTGAATGACACTGCACCACAGATAGACAGATAGACAGATAGACAGATAGACAGATAGACAGATAGACAGATAGACAGATAGACAGATAGATAGATAGATAGATAGGTAGATAGATAGATAGATAGATAGACAGGTAGACAGGTAGACAGCTAGACAGCTAGACAGATAGACAGATAGATAGATAGATAGGGTAATTAGATGAAAGAGAGATAGATAGATAGATAGAGAGATAGATAGATAGATAGATACATAGAAAATAGATAGGTAGGTAGGTAGATAGTCAGAGAAAGAGATAGAAAGAGTGAGAGAGATCAAGCACCTTTCAGTCCATCAGTGGCTTCGCTCTGCCATCCCTGATTCACAACAACCAACCTCTCCTATAGGTTTCCTATTTTTGAAACTTCCGCCACCGCCTTGTGCGGTACTACTGGTAATTTGTTACATAGCTATTGAAAATACCCCATAGAAATAATTAATTTACCTATTCAAAATGGTGATTTTCTATAGCTATGTAAACGTTTACCAGAGGGCAACCATGATTACCCTCTGGTAAACGTTTACATAACTATAGAAAATCACCATTTTCAATGGGAAAATCCACGAACTAAATGGTGATGTTCAATAGCAAACTGTTGACATAACCAGAGGGTATCTCCATTAAATCACCATTAAATCCCATTAAAACCCATTAAATCACCATTTTCCTATGGTTTTCCTAGAGGGTAACCATTACTATAACCATTCTTCACCGACGAAGGCCGCAGCTTTTCTCCATGGAATGTCCCAAGAAAGGCCACGTCCTGACCGACACGCCCTGCTCAGCCGCCACGATGTCATCGGTGCGGCGCACGGTAGAAGTGGTGGCCCCTGGCGCTGATAGAAGGGTTGAGCAATGTCTACAGGAACCATAATGGTTATATGTTATATGGTTAATAGTGGTTAATAGTGGTTAATAGTGGTTAATAGTGGTTAATAGTGGTTAATAGTGGTTAATAGTGGTTAATAGTGGTTAATAGTGAATAATGTCTATAAATCATGGTTAATAGAGGTTAATAGTGGTCTGTTGATCATGTTAATCATGGTTGATCAACCAAAAAAACAACCAATGTTAACAACCATTAGTAGTGGTGGTATGATCCATTTTCAGAAGAGGTATCATGCAGAACTCCACACATGTTCATAAACATATATATATGTGCAAATATATGTAGTATATAGTGTAAAGATATGATATAATGATAAATGCATATCAGAAATTATTGCTCAATGTTGCATAGATATTGTAGACATCTGGCAACATACCCTATGGCTCCAAACGCCTCCTCACGGGATATTCGGAACAATAAGGAAATGTAAATACATGCACCTACTTAAATAGAACAAAATCATGACCCATAATGGGACTATTACTATTCCACGGGTTGGTTTAAGGCTCATCTACAGAAAACTATGGTTTGTATTCCCAATGTAGAATCAAACCTGCA